CCTAGTGCAGTAAGGACACTCACACCAAACAACCAGCTGTATTTTCTATATCCTTGAAGCTCTGACATTTACGACGTTGATCCTGGAGAAACAGCCCCTCCCAGAACTAGTTAATCCCTAGAGATAGAAAACAACTTGCCTGTAAGTACTCTTTCCACATATAATCAGCACTCACACACCCAGTACCTCCTTTATCACACACACAACACACCAAGCCAGTATCACCCCTGCCCTAAATCCCCACAAGATCACTGGATAACTAAGGACCACTCCTATAGTCCAGAACCTGCCAAAATTGTTCAGATTTTCTAATCTTAAACTTACTCAGAATATCTGACCTGACTCACCAGTTCCTTCAGGCAAAAACATCCATAAAAGCTCCAGGTCATGGTCTCCCCTCAGTCCCTTTGCCTCTTGTCTAATCCAGGTTTCCTGTGCAGCCTGCATGGCAATGCCTCGCCTCCTATCCATAGGGATCTGTGAATATCAACTTCTTCCTTCATGATCAGAACTGGTTCTACACGTCTCAACATACCTGCTTAAAACCAAATCCCAGTACAACCAACATGAGGAAGGTGGCCAGACATGACCCTTTCCATCAGGAGTTTAAGAAATGACACTGAAGGTCCTCCCTGGTGCACAACGGGTTAAAGAACAGCACTCTGAAGCTATCCACAGCCATTACAGCACCAGTTTGATCCCTGGCCAAGGAGCTGACCCACATGGTGCAGCAGACCTGCCCGCTGCTCCCCTCAGCAGTGTATCTCAGTAGATTGCCTGTTCCCCACTCAGTTTCTGGTAAATCCTCTCACCCCCCACACCTCTGGCCTGTACCCCAGTTCTTGTTGCATAAATAAATCTATCTTTTAAAAATTTTAAATAAAATAAATCACAGTGAATTGTTTTAAGAAAATCAGGTGCATATCTGCAAAGCAAGCATGGAGATTCATATACAAAGATACCCCTGCTTTTCAAAATATAAACCCTCCTGTTGTGCAGGAGATGCCTGAGAGCTTCATAAAAAGGGTATCTAATTAATTTAGAATGAACTCAGGCAAGTCCCTGTGGTACATGAACTGGCAGTGATAGGAGAGTACCAGCTGTTGCCACCCACATTCTACTCATTAATTAGAGAACATTCAGAGACCTTCACACTTTTGTGGTGTCGTAAGAAGATAAAATATAAGGAGGCTCCTAGGGTAGACTGAGGCTAATGAGGGAGGCAGGAGCCAGATTATAAAGGGTTGAATGTGTCCTTGGAGTTTGTCTCCAAGGAGAACTGCAAATTGAAGAATTTACAAATAGCAGTGACACATCAGGTCTACAGTTGGAAAGGTCATTCTGGTATCAACAGGATGGGTAAAGGTTCATGTTAAAAATATACCAGTAAGGGGCCCTCCCTGGTAGCACAACGGGTTAAAGCACTGCACTAAGAAGCTTAAGCCAATTCTGCATGAGTTCGATCCCCGCCTGCCCCGGGGGAGATCCACATGGTGTGGCAGACCTCTCCTGACCTGTCTGCTGCTCCCCTCAGCAGTGTACTTCATAGATCTGCCTGTTCTGCTCCCCACTCTGTCTCTGGTGAATCTCTCACTCTCTGCATCTCTGGCCTGTACCCCAGTTCTGTATGAATAAATAAATCTTTAAAATTTATATATATATATACCAGTAAGATTTAAAATTCTTAGTGCTCTATTAAGAAAATCTGAGTGATAACATACAGTCTAAGGCAAAGAAGATCTTTGTAACCAAGAATGGAAACTCAGAGGTGGTGAATAAAAATAAATGTAGCTAATACTTAGAAACTTTAAACATCTATATGGCACACACAACATAAATGAAGTTAATAGACACAAGACAGGTGTTTTTGTCTCTTTTGCTATCTCTGCCCACCTTTAGAATGTAGTCTACAAAGGAGAGGATCTTTTGTTTGCTTCATTTATTGCTATATTCTCAATGCCTAGAACAGTGCTTGGTAGTCAGTCATAAGCATTCAAAAAAATACTTGTTGAATGACTGAATATGTACACAGCTCTTGCTTATCCCTATTAAGGGATGATGAGTATTTTTTCAGAAGCCTGTTGTCCATCTGTATGTCACCTTTAGAGAAGTACTATTTAGCTCTTCTGCCTATATTTTGACTGGGTTATTTATTTTGTCATTGTTGAGAGAGAAACGAGTTTTCTATAGATCTTGGATACAAGACCCTTGAAGTTACATGGTGTGCAAATATTTTCTCCCATTCAACAGGATGTCTTTTCATTTTTTTTTTTTTAAAGATTTATTTATTTGTGCATACAGAACTGGGGTACAGGCCAGAGGCTCAGGGGCGGCGAGAGGCTTCACCAAAGACAGAGTGGGGAGCAGAACAGGCAGATCAACGAAGTACACTGCTGAGGGGAGCAGCGGGCGGGTCAGGAGAGGTCTGCCACGCCATGTGGTCACCTCCGGGGCAGGCGGGAATCGAACTCATGCAGAAGCGGCTTTAGATTCTCAGTGTTGTGCTTTAACCCGCTGAGCCACCAGGGAGGGCCTGTCTTTTCATTTTAATAATCACTATCCAGATGCTTTTTTGTTTGATATAGCTCCATTTGTTAATTTTTGCTTTGGCTTTCCTTGCCATTGTAGTCAAGGCCTCAAAGACAACCTTGAAACAAATGTCATGGAGTGGTTTGCCTTTGTTTTTTTCAACATTTTAAGGTTTCAGGTATTACATGCAAGTTTTTAATCCATTTTGAATTATTTTCTATTGGATAAAATAATAGTTTAGTTCAATTCTTTTGCACGTGGCTGCCCAGTTCTCCCAACACCATCTGTTGAAGGATTTCCCTTTCTCTGTTGTATCCTCTTGACTCCTTTGTCATTAACTGTCTATGTAAATGTAGGTTATTTTTGGCTCTTAATTCTATCCCATTAGTCTGTGTCTCTTTTTATTCCAATGCCATACTGTTTTGATTACCATAGCACCGTAGGATAGAATGTAGTCTGGGAACATGATTATTCTCTTCGTTAGAATCACTATTTGAGATCTTTTGTAGTTTCATATAAATTTCAGTAATGTTTGCTCTATTTCTATGAATATCATTGAATTGTATCTGTATAGTGCTTTGTGTGAGGTGATCATTTTACCAAAGTTAATATTTCCAATCCATGAGCAGAGAATCTCTTTCCATTTCATCATATTTTCTGCTATTTCCTTTAATAATGCCATAGTTTTCATTGCACAGGTCTTTCACTTCTTTGGTTACATTTATTCCTAAGCATTTAATTCTTTTTTCTTTAATTACAAGTGGGATTGCTATCTTGATTTGTTTTTCCTCTGGTTTGTTGTTTGCATATATGAATGCAACAGATTTTTGTATATTGATTTTGTAGGCTGCCACTTCACTATACTGACTTATTCTTTCTAGTTTTTCTTAGTGGAGTCTTACAAGGTTTTCTATATATGTCATCATATGGTCTGCAAAAAGTAATAATTTAAACTCCTCTTCTTTCCCAATTTGATTTCTTTCCCTTGCCTAATTGAGTGATATCCTGTTTCCTGCTGATAGCTATGAAGCTACAACTTACTTATCTTGACTCTATAATTTGTTTCATGTTTGTGTTCACACATGTCTGTCTAGGATTCTATGAACATAGAGAAAAATATGAAAAAATGAATTCAGGACTAACAAACCTGGGTATCAGGAAAGAATTAGGAGGACTGGGGGAGAGATGCAGGAAGAGGAAGTCAAGTCAAAAATGACAAAGATACCACATTCTGGACCAACAAAGAAGGGAATAACTGTAACATTGGTGATAATAAATGTAGAATTTATGCAAACAACAGCTAAGTGTCAGAAAAGCTTAGATATATGTCTTCTCCTTAAAGAACTGCTGGGAAATCCATACCCGAGAGCCTAGAGGTATGTCCCCATATTTTTATATCACTGCATGCACATTGGTGAACAAGATAGAGATAGTTTCAAATACGCTCTCAGGTTTCCTGAACACTGCCCAAGTTGTAGTCTGTTGACTTCTAATAGGCACTGAAGACCTTGCCTTATCACTTGATACTTCAATCTACAAAAGCAAAATCCTTAGTGGTGTAGCTGTTTACTTTATAACCAAGTCTTTTTTCCTTGTAAAAGAATATGATTTTTAAAAAGTTAAGGTTAATTTAGGGGTATGTGCGTGTGTGTTTAAGGCTTTTAAAACTTCATACTTTGTCCTTATCATCTTACCAAAGTTACCAGGTCTCTCTTCAGGGGAAAAAAAAAAAAAAAAAAACATTTAAGAAAGTCTTATTTAAAAATAAAGTCTTGGGCCCTCCCTGGTGGTGCAGTAGGTTGAAGCACAGCACTAGGAAGCTAAAGCCACTTCAGTATGAGTTTGATCCCCGCCCCAGAGGTGATCCACATGGTGCAGCAGACCTCTCCTGACCCGCCCACTGCTCCCCTCAACAGTGTACTTCGTAGATCTGCCTGTTCTGATCCCCACTCTATCTCTGGTGAATCCTCACATCACCTCCACACCTGTGGCTTGTACCCCAGTTCTGTATACATAAATAAATCAATCTTTTAAAAAATAGTCTTAAGGGCCTTCCCTATTAGTGCAGTGGGTTAAAGCACTGTACTAAGAAGCTTAAGCCAATTCTGCATGAGTTCGATCCCCACCTGCCCCGGAGGAGATCCATATGGCATGGCAGACCTCTCCTGACGTGCCCACTGCTCCCCTCAGCAGTGTACTTTGTCGATCTGCCTGTTCTGCTCCCCATCTGTTCCTGGTGAATCCTCTCACCCTCTGCATCTCTGGCCTATACACCAGTTCATATGAATGAATAAATAAATCTTTAAAAAATAGTCTTAATTTTTAAAGTGAGGCTGTTTTATGTTAGAATTCATCTATAAGCAAGTTGGTAGGCTTTGGAGTAATTTGCCAGCAAAGCTAGTGGCTGGTTCAAAATACATAGAGACTAGCCATGACACGGAATTTTCAAGATGAATCATTAATATACCTACCAGCCTTTGCAACAGCCTGACTTGTCTTGGAACCCTGAGCCCAACCTACAAAAAAAAAGAGAAGAAACATAAATTATTATTGTGGCATCACTCCTAAATAAGCGATATGAGGGCATTCAAAGCAATTCAACTCACAAACAGGCTACCCAACCCTAAGAACAGTTTTGACCTTTAATCCAGGCCAAGATTCTAATTCCCTCTTAACTCTCATTGACTACTTAAACCAGGCGGTCAGACTGCCTTGTCATCTTTCTGTTCCTAAATCTTGTTGAGGAGTTTGTCAGGAGTTCATTGAAACATCACATATTGCATCTGTTACTGTAAGAGACCATGTTCACTCTTATTCTGATAGGCTCATTATTCAATTCAAAGACCACGAAATTCTGGAAGCAAAACTGAACTTACCTTAGATTTTTTTTAATGTGTTTTTTCTTTCTGAAAGTTTTGCTATATTTTCCCACTTGTGGGAGCAAGGTGGGGGGTGAGCATGGACAGATGATAAAATTATCTTTTAAAAAATCATATTAATAATTAACCAGTCCCTAAGGATTCATTTAAAAGTCTTAACAATTTGTTGAACATTGTTTATGGCAAATCACTGTTTAAATACCAGAAGTGTTAACTGATAATAAATTGTCCTCTTTAGAGGGCAATTTGACAGTTTTGATGAAAAACTTGAAAAATATGACTAGACTTTCTATATCTTTCTTTAAGTGTACAAGTCAAAGATTTTTAATGTATTCACAGTTGTGTAACCATAACCACAATGAATTTAAAATATTCCAAAAAGGGGCCCTCCCTGGTGGTGCAGCAGGTTAAAGCACAACACTAAGAAGCTAAAGCCACTTCCGCATGAGTTCTATTCCCGCCTGCCCCGGAGGTGACCACATGGCGTGGCAGACCTCTCCAGACCCGCCCACTGCTCCCCTCAGCAGTGTACTTCATGGATCTAACTGTTTTGCTCCCCATTCTGTCTCTGGTGAATCCTCTCACCCTCCGCATCTCTGGCCTGTACCCCAGTTCTGTAAGAATAAATAAATCTTTAAAAAAAAATTCCAGGCCCTCCCTGGTGGTGCAGCAGGTTAAAGCACAACACTAAGAAGCTAAAGCCACTTCCGCAGGAGTTCTATTCCCGCCTGCCCCGGAGGTGACCACATGGCGTGGCAGATCTCTCCAGACCCGCCCGCTGCTCCCCTCAGCAGTGTACTTCAATCTATTTGCCTGCTCTACGAATCCTCTCACCCTCCGCATCTCTGGCCTGTACCCCAGTTCTGTATGAATAAATAAATAAATCTTTAAAAAAAAAAAAATTCCAAAAGGTACCCTGTACCCCTTGATTTTTACCTCAAAGTCCCTACCTCTCCCAGGGAGCTAGCCAACCACAAATCTACTTTGTCTCTATGAATGTGTCCCTTCTGGGCATTTCACATAAATGGAATCATTTAATGTATAGTCTTTTATTTCTGAATTGTCTCACTTAGCATAATGTTTTTAAGGTTCATCCATGTTGTATCATATGTTCATACTTAATTTTTTTTAAGTATTGTTTCGATAGACCATGTTTTTATTTATGCATTCACCAGCTGATGGCTCCTTGCTATTACTTTCATGTGGAACTTGTATGAACATTCATATGCAAGTCTTTGTGTTGGACATATGTTTTCATTTCCCTCAAGTAGATAGAAACTTAGATGAATTGCTGAGTTGTATGGTGAACTTAACTTATCATGACCTGCTAAACTGTTTTCTAAAGTGGTTTCAATATTTCTCATTCCCACCAGTATGATGTCTTTTAATTTAGAAATTCTACTTACAGAAAGGTCTCCTACAGGGAAGAAAATCAGTCAAAAAATAGATGTACAGGAAATTCTGTGTGAATTTTAAAATAATTGTTAATAATCAGAAATCACCTAAACTACCCTTTTAATGTGTTTCAGTTAAATATATTAAGATCTGTTGATTAATTAGAATACAGCCATTGAAAATAATGATGTGGGGCCCTCCCTGGTGGCACAATGGGTTAAAGCACAGCACTATGAAGCAATCTGCAGCTGATGTGCCAGGGAGCTGACCCACATGGTGTGGCAGACCTCTCCTAACATGCCCGCTACTCCACTCAGTAGTGTATTTCAGTCAGTCTGCCTGTTCTGTTTCCCACTCTGTTTCTGGTGAATCCTCTCACCCCCCCACACCTCTGGCCTGTACCCCAGTTCTGTATGTATCAATACAGAAATCTTTAAAAAAGAGAGAATAATGATGTGGGTCTATATTTATTGACATCAATAACTATTCATTTTACTGGTCTTGGGTGTTGTTTACCAAATATATCTCTAGCCCTCTGCCATGAGAATTGTACTTCTGTCACCTTTGTGGGAAGGGAAAGTCATATGACTGGTGTTGGCCAATAAGAAATAGCCATACATGTAAGTAACACCTGTCACTTCTGGCCAAATATTAAATTGCAAATGTAAAATCCTATATACGTGTCCCTTCTCTCAAGCACAGTAGTTAACACAGTAGGTTTGAGATGCTGCCTCCTTGAGTTCAAGTTCTCAAATGACCACACTATGCATAGTTGTCCCATAGCTAATACAAAATGTACAAGTTATCTGAGCAAGACTTGAGATTTAGGGGTTGTTTGTTACCACAGCATAACCCAGCCTACCCTAGCTGATGCACTCATGACACAGGTATAAGTGATGAATCAGATGTCAAAAACTATACTTCATATTTTTGTTAAGTTTAAGTACGCCAGTATGTGCACAGAAGTGGTTGTTACCAAAGAGAGTTGAATTCTATCTTAACATTTTTCTATTTTAACCCTGTTTTTGACAAAATGGCACATATTGTTTCCATAATAGAAAAACAGTGTCCAGATCTAAAAACAACTATTTCTACTTGAAAAATGAAAATTATAAAAAATATATTTTGATCCTTTCTCTTTCCCTGATTCCTCCAAAATACATATATTATGATAAATTACCATTATAGGCCATTATCAAGATGCTTGTCCTATAAAACACAAAACAGAAAGAAATAGCATAGAATTGAGGTTGATGTCCACCCTGACTCCAAATGGGACCCAAACACTGACCATGATGATAGCAGTTTCTATTTCTAAAATGAGATGAGATCTACAAACACTGTCCAGGAGGCCATACTAGCATCCTGGGAAGGTTCTTGCCAGCTCTATAGGTTCACCTCAGGCCTTTCCCTTCCTGACATTGTGGGTATTTGCAGAAAGCTAGCCTAGCCCCTCAAAGGTATTCAGTTCTCTGGTTGACCTTAAGTATTTCTCAGCTCCCTCCTTTATAAAGTGGGTTTCCCAAGAAAATAAACAAACTTTAAGGAGAACAAGAAATGTTGGCTTTCATTTTTGAGATGACTAGCTGACATCTCAGGAGACTACTCTGGCTACACTTCAATCCAAGTTTAAACTCAGACTGAACCATAATCAAAACTTGCCAGTACACAGAGGTTCCCATGCCAGCTAGCTGGCAGTGGAAGTAACACTAGTTTCATCAACATTGTGTTTAGTTAGGAATTCCTGATTCCTTTTATTGTCTCAAGGTTTTCCCACTGCCTTGAAAGAACTGGGAATGGGTTTAGGTGACTGGCTTGAGTTTAGGTAATTGGTAAAAGTCAAGGACTACCTTGAAAGTAACTGCAGAGTTTCACCAACCTGCTCAGGACCTCTAATCACTGATGGAAGAGATACCTCAAATAAGATTCTTTGTTCCTACAGAGCTAAGCTTGTTTCTCCAGCATCAAAAGAGAAGATGGGGCCCTCCCTGGTGGTGCAACGGGTTAAAGTACAGCACTATGAAGCTATAGGCAGCCACTGCAGCATGAGTTTGATCCCTACTAGGGATCAAACATAGAGCAGCAGATGTCTCCAGACCCACCTGCTGCTCCCCTCAGCAGTGTATTTGAATCTATTTGCCTGCTCTACTCCCATTCCATCTCTCGTGGATCCTCTCGCCCCCCACACCTCTGGCCTATATCCCAGTTCATATGTGCATAAATAAATAGATCTTTTAAAAAGAGAGAGAGAGAGACGTCTGGACCATAGTATTTCTTGAGAAATGAAAGATACAATCCCTGCATCCAGGCCCATGTTACCTAAATTGAAAGAAACAGACCGACAACAATTTAATATACAGGGAATTTTTATAGGTTATAAAGGAATGAGGGAAAAGAAGCATTCATGCTGTTCTTGAGACCATGAGTGACTTTATGATGGAGGTATGACTGGAACTAGTTGTGTGAGATGGTTGTTGGCATGGAATGAAAAGGAAGGAACAATTTTAAGGGGATCAGATTCAATATAGAGAAATAGCTGAGAAATAGCTGCATAAATCTACCATTCCCTCTTTAACATGTGTGAGCCAAGCACCAAGAGATCAGAGGATAAGAGAAGCTTTCCTTTGCACAAAGAATGTGACAATAACAGTCTGGACTGTGGAGTCTTCTCCATCTACCCCAATACCAGTTAGTCCAACTATTGATAAAAAAAGTAATTCACAAATGTTCATAACTGAAATAATAAGATTTATATATTTTCACCAGGATCTATCACAGCATCAGATCATGAGAGAAAAGGAAGATAAATATCCTTAGAGCATTCCAAAAAATCCATAAATACCAGACAGTATCATTTTTTTTTTTTTAAGATTTATTCATTTGTACAGAACTGGGGTACAGGCCAGAGATGAGGAGGGTGAGAGGATTCACCAGAGACAGGGAGTAGAACAGGCAGGTCAACAAAGTACACTGCTGAGGGAGCAGCGGGTGGATCAGGAGAGGTCTGCCATGCCATGTGGTCACCTCCAGGCCGGGGATCAAACTCACACTGAAGCAGCTGTGGCCAGCTTACAGTGCTGCACTTTGACCTATTGTGCCACCAGGGAGGGTCCCAGACATTATCACTTATATACAGAATAACAAAAGTTCAGATAAAACCAAACCAATAACCAATACTAGAAATTTGATTGTAGAATTGAGGTTACTGGATGTAAAAGAGGAGATCAGAGTCAGGAAGGTAA